CTTCTCTATCTTTTCCTTCTCTAGGTCGCTTTTCTCGCTTCGCTGATTACAAATATCGCATTATGAAAAGAGTGTAGGTGTCCCGAGCCTGGTGCAAGGGCAAGGACTTTTGTTCTGCTGGGAAAAAAAGGGATCTCAACGTCTGTCGTTTGATCTAAACAATGTCGCCGGTTTTGGCTCTGCTGGAACTCCGCGGTCGGCCAAAGAAGCGTCGGCGCTGAGATCCAGAGTCGTGACTAGCTCTTGAAGCCGCGGCGCCTGACGTCGCGCTTTCTGGACGTTCGAGGTCGGTTCGTTCGCGGATGCTCTGGAGGCGAGCGACGTGCGGCTGGTGGACCTCTCTGCGAGCCTCAAACACGTCCTGGAAATCGCTCCAGTTGTTGTCAATGAAAGGCGTCATACCAGTGCGGGAATCGGCGCGAGCGCGAGTGGCCACCGCAGTCCCCGCTGTAGTAGGCTGAGTAGTAGAGTGAATGGAGTGAGAGTCGCCTCCAGGCGTCGCAGGCTCGATGCCACTGGGACCGCCGTTCTTGGAAGAGTCGTACGAAGGAGGGGCGCCGCCTGCCCAGTAAAAGGGTGTGTTGCGGGAACCACCAGGTTGCACCTGCCAAGGGCCCTGGAGACCAACAGCGCGAACCTCGGCCATAAGCTGGGCGGCAAACTTGTTGTGTCTTTGCAGACGGAGCAGTTCGTTCTGGAAGTTGGACTTGTGGAAGAAGATCAAGTTCATGGTGAAAGATTGAACCTCATTAAGAGTGCGGACTTCAGTAATAATGCGAGGCTGGTAGTCGCGCTTGTGTTCGAGGCAGAAGTTGAGCATGCGAGACTTGAGCTCCTCGATGAGCTCCGGATCGGTGCCGAAACCAAGCTTGAGCTCGATGGGATCGGCCAGACCGGCAGAACGGCGCTGGTTGAGAATGAAAAGGGTGTTCAGCACACTGTTGGGTGCCTGTACAATGTGACCCTCCATCTTCTTAAACTCGGTGTACAGCAGGGAAATTTCCGTAACGTAGTAATCGTCGCCGGTTCCGGTAGTACCAGTGTTGCCGTAGACAGTGACGCGGTCACCGACATCGAATGGGTGCTTGACGAATACGAAAATGATGGACTGCAGGAACTCTTGGGCGCTGGCCTGGAGCAGCCATGCGAGACCGAGGAAACTGGATCCGGCAGAAGCGAGACCGGCAGCGGCAGAGCCTGAGAGAATGGAAATGAAGACGATGATGGCGATAATGACAATGATGACGAGGAAGACCTTATCAAGCTTTTTGATGACGGAATCGAGATCCTTCAACGAGGCAGCGATAGCCTTGCGCTCAAGATGAATTTCGTTGCAAGTAAGTTCCATCTCTTCCATAGAGATATCACCATTGAGATCCTTGTCGAAAATGCTAAAGGCGTGTTCGGCCTCTTCACTGGTCTTGAAGGCGGACTGCATGTCTTCAAGGTAGATGGTCTCTTGACCGTCCTTGGCGAGACTCCGGAAGATGAGGCGGGCAAGAGAATGAGCAGAACCCGTGTTACGCAACATCTCGTATGTGATCTTGCGGGCATGGTTGAAAGCGACCTTTCGTCCTATGAAGTCGTTTCCAACACGAGCCGCAACGCCACCGGCCTTGTTGAAGGCAGTGCGAACATTCTTTCCGACGACACCCATTGGGGTACGGACGCCTGACCTGTTGCCGTTCTCGGTTGTGAGCCATATAGAGTCCTCGCGATTGATTCGCATCTTGGAGTGCTCGTAAAGGTGGACCAAATGGTCGATATCGCTCTTGTTCGTCTCGATTCGTTGGACGTAGGTGCGCTGATGGAAAGATGTGGCAATCCATTGGATGCAGATCTTCTCCACCCAATTGAGAGCAGCCAGAACCAAGAAAGCGATAATGACCTTCTGGACGATATCGACCCATTTGAGATCCGGCTTGGTGTCGGTGTCCGGGTTGAACCCGTCGGGAAGAACGCGGTGGTCTTCGAGTATGGGCGAGTAAGAGCAAAGAATGGCGAGCATCCACATGAAGAGGGCAGTGTGCAGCTCGAGACCCTGGCCGATATCCCTCCACTTCTTATGGTTCGAAGAGCCCATGACAATGGCAATACCGCCAAAGGTGAGGGGCATAAAGCTGGTAACCATACGCGTAGCCCACAATGAGCACCAGACAACCTCGAGCCAGATTCCGAACCAAGTGAGATAAACGCCGTAGGCACCACCAACGGTAGCGCTTTCGGCGTCCACGGCGAAGTGACCGATGAGAACCGGAATGAGAAGAAGCGCGGCACCGGGAATCAGATAGACAAAGTATCGGAAAACACGTGGGAACTTCCTCAGCCACTTCCACAATGCGAAGGCGAAGGCACCGGCCTTCTTCTCGGGCGGCGGCTTAGCGGCATCGGCAGGGTTTGGACCGTTGGTAGCGAAGACATCCTCGGGCTCCATCTCGCGGGTCCTACCCTGGCGAGAACGCTGCTGGGACATTTCATGTTCTTGGTTGGAGATGAGGCGCTCGGCGCGCAACAACTCCAAATCGTCATTGAGGCGTGAGGCTTGTTCTCGTGAGTCTTGCGGCGACATTGGTCCGCCGTGCGTCTCTTGGGGAATATGAAGGTGGTTGTCGGTGTTTAATCTCGTCAACTTTTCGGGGTGAGTTGGTTGGGAATTGGGATCAGTTGCGGTTTGGAGACTATCGTCCGTATGCTGAGAATGCTTCTCATTTTCGTCTGAATTGGCGCGATCGCGATTATTTGTTGGCGTCGTCATGGTAGGCGGGATGAAGAGGCCGCGAGGGGCCGTCGGTTGAGTTGGGCAAGATTATGTGGTGTAAGTGGAATATGTGTGTCCAAGGTAAAACGTTGTGGTTGTTTTGATTTCCGAGGGATCAAGGTGTCCTCCCTTTTGCTTTGTGTAGGTAAGGGCGAATAGGCCCGATAAATGCCGTCAGAGGCAAAAGAATGCCAGCAAGATGATGTAAATTCGCGATTGGCGTTTGCGGTCGGGTCGTTTCGCTCTTTTTCTCGGTGAGAGAGAATTGCCGCCGGTTGGTGGTGACAAAGGCGCAAGTACTCGCGGTGTGTGTTCCGGGGTGAGTAGCTATGACCACCGGCAGGAACTGCGACGAGGATGGGCAGGAGAGAGGAGGACGGTAGACTCTTCAGTCAAGAAGACTCCAGTCGAAAATTGGTACCTTCCTGTTTCCCCGTGGGTGTAATGTACCTGGAGAGCCGGTAAAGCTGGGGAAAGAAATGGGAGGGAAAGAGCTGGGGATGGAGCTTTTGTTGAAAGGTCGAGGGGAGGAGGGCTGGATGAAATATTTCTTGGGAGGTGCACCTTCCCGTCTTTTGTCGATGGGAAAGCTTAGGTTCGATGGAAGTCACCAAGTATCCCCGTACCTCTTCAGATTCAGATGGAGACCTTGGGAATAAGTGAACAGGGAAAGAGCAAGGGGGTCAAGACCGAAAAGGTAATCAGCAGAAATGGCAGGCACGAGCACTTCCATGTGCTTGCAGTTGTTAATCAGCAAGCGGTCGCGCAGTCTGGACTCTTCTTCTTCACGCTCCTGGTGACATTGGATGGGAGCTTTGGCAGGCAATGGCAGCAAAGATATGGGTACTGCTTCAGTCCCCGACACTCCGATTCCCCAGTCTCTCTCGGTCATTTTAGAGAAACAGGGACTTGTAGAGTAAAACTGGACCTCTGTTTCCCCTCTGGCATTGGAGGGCGCGAGGGGCCCCCGGGGGTGGTGTTTGAGCTCAATGAAATATAGAGGGACGGGGTGGGAACCAAGAATTTGACGACAGCGACGATTCCAAGAATTGGCTCCAGAATTCTATCTGCACGTCCGAGCCTTGTTCACGTTGACCAGTGGTGGCGCTTGTGAATCGCTGCTTCGACCCGCGGCGCCACGTCGGTGCCCAGAGAAAAAGAATGGGGGCGACGCGCGATGATCTTGCTTGGGGGGCTTGCTCGTCATTAACATTTAAAAATTGGGTCTCCATTTTTAGCTGGGCGTGGGCCTTGGACCTGGATGTTGGGGCCATCAATCTGGTCCATCTGGCTTTGGCAATGGCATTTCTTGGTGGTTGAATCTCTTCCCCTTGGTGTTTGCTGCTCAAAGCATATACTGGAACTGTAGGTAAATTGTAGTAATCCTCGATTTGAGAACTAAGGTCAGTAAAAAAGTACCTTGAATATGTACTTCACGATAGCTGAAGCAGGAGCTGTTCATGTTTTTGAGTGACATTTTCTCAGAGTGGGAGCTTGGGCACGCTGCACCCGCGGAGGGTGGCAGTGGCAGCGAATGCGACAGCGATATGCCGGCTGGCACTGGGCTCAAAACCGGGTCCGTGCTATCTGACAGGAGAGCCGCTGCAGGGAACATTCAATTCGTGAACCTGGAAACCTTGGAATCTCGAGCGCCTCCTTCACTGGGATGTAGCTGTTTTCCACGGGTAGGAAGCTTTCGTTCCTTCCCCCCTCCTTTTTTTTCTTATTCTTCTCTGGGTGGTGGTGAGGTTGTTCCCCCGGAGCTTCGAATTGCCTTCCTGCCTTCTCAACGACCACACCCACTCGCTTCCTGCCGTATCGTGCTAGATATTATAGACGGAAGGCACGAAGGGGGAAGGGAGGGACCCTGAATATCCTCTCCGTCAAGTTGATTACCTTACTCGGGAGCACCGCAATGGGCGATAAGGCCATGCCTGGTTTTTTCGCTGTAACATTGCAATTAACTTTGAATTGCAGAGCCCCGTTGCCTTTTTACTTCGCTCTCGACCGAAACTTTGTGTTTTGCAGCACGGCAACCACTGCACTGCACTGCACTGCACTGCATTGTAAAGTGGTCACTGTTGTGCACTGCAAGCTGCGGATAGTCAGCATAGGTCTTTCTTGGCTTTCCTCTGTTCACATCACGCCCCTTGCGCCGAATATTCATCGTCGGTCCGCGGCAGCTCTAAACTGAATGGCGGCTAGCGTCTTCGTCGTCGTCGTTTACACATTGTCCTCATCGTCATATGCCCCATAGACATCCATCACCGCACATGCGCGCATGGAGAAGATGATGCAAATCGGATTTCCTATTGAGATGTGCCTGCCATACATCATCGGAACCCCATACCAACAATGGGTCACTTTCGAGCATCACATTGTCTCCGACGCTCCGTTCGAATGGCAGATGACTGGTACTGGTGAGAATCCGGAGACTACAGCTGCGCATCCATATGGTATACTGGTGCACAATGAACTGGGAGACCCCCACTGGGTCGAACCCACGATCGCCCGTCATCGCGATCCTTTTGGTGCCTTTCCACTGCGGTATTGCCTGTCCATCCGCACGCCTCATCCCTGGCCCGAGTGGTGGCCGTCGTCTGAGACACCGAGACGCAGTCGCATAGTGAGGCTCTCCGCTGCGTCGCAACGAACCAACTGAACCGTCTCGCCCGATCCCGCGAACAGACGGTCGCAGATCACACACGCTGCCGCCCGAATCGCCATGTCATGCCGGCATACGTATACGCCAGGGGAGGGGCATGAAGACGGGCGGGCGGGTAAACCACCAGCACATACGCACCTGGCCGTTACTTTTCGCGCACTGCATCCTTTGCTACACTTGACTACCGTGCGAAAACCACCAAGTGCCTTAAGTAAGGTGTTTAGCAGCATCAAGTTTGCAAGCCACCCTCAACAGAAATAGCGTCCGATGGCTGTAGTCGCCAATGCCCAATCTACTGTGGAAAGGGCCGAAGAGACCAGAGACCATTATGTCACCAGCGCCAGCACCAACCAGTGACGACAGATGCTCTCAGCACCTTCTCTTAGGCTCTTAGCACACCTGTCCTCCCTCGAGGTTATGCAAGATACTTGGCACTAACTGGGACAACGGTGACTTACAGAAGCCCGAAGCGCGGGAGAACAACTGCCAATGGTAGAAAAGAGACTAAGGCCGGGCCAAACTGGTATCGATACGAGGGACTGCCGCAAATCCATTCCACGAGCGGAAACCATGGCAGAACCGGTGTGTCTTAGCGGCAGTACACCCTCTGGATACTCTTGAAGTTTGCCCTGATCTGATTTTGCCGTCCTTGTCTGGCAATCCTGCATGTGTCTGCAGCGGCTAATCAGCGGATGGCTCATTCGATCTTTTGATGCAAAAAAGTGGCCGTCACCCGCCCTTGTCACATCAACACGCATGCAAATCAATCAACCAACCAACCCACCTCGGATTCCGGACTGCATAATTCGCCTGCCAATGTCATTCAGCTGGGTGGGCCGTGAAAGACGACTCCTCAGGCCCCTTCCTCCTGACCTCGAACTTACAGAGTCGGTTCCTTCCTCGCGTCGGGTCACCTCCAACAAAACACGCACCTTCCTTCTCATTCAAATTGCGGGTTGTGCCTATGGACCGACGGTCGGGTGCGTGCGACATGCGTGGGTGCTCTTTCCTCTTGCTACGGTGGACCCCCACTCTCATCGTCTCTCAACATGACCCCACCCGCCACGGCTGACGTCACACGGCGTCTTTCCTGGACCTTCCATGTTCCGCCTTCGACGACGGCCAAACGGGTCCCCTCGCCCGTTTTTTCCCCCTGCCAAGACTCCAGGACCCGGCCGCTGAGCCCCTAACCCTCAGCTCGGCCCACCGTCCCCCGAATCTTTCGAGGCTCACTGTTTCCAACGCCCGGTGCCGTCACTGTCCGACGTCGCTGGATTTGGCCCACGACCAACAGTCTGCCGAATCTTCAGACACGGAGCCCAACCTTGTTCACCTCCAATTGTCCATGGTATCGCTGCATCCATGATAACCCCCCTCGTCTGCAATGTCCCTGACTCCAGAACGTCCAGAAGAGTTTTCAGAATTTCTGCTCTCTCCCCGGATCGTTGAGTCGGTCTGGACTCTCGACTCCAAACTGAGCTCTCAAAGCTCCGCAGGGTCATCTTGTCAAGCTTTCTACAGGCTATGGAGTACTCCGTACACTCCAGTCAGCAGATGAAAGTCAGTCGGTCGGGCTCATTGACGATACCACAGAGTCATGGATCACTCGCAGATGGGACAAGAGAGAGATGACTGCAGCCACAGCAGAACATCAGACAATTGCAAGGGTAGCTCACCAACCACTCAGACTCCAGGACACGATATCGCTGGCCGCAATTCACAGGCTGCCGTCGGACCTTGGGCCGTTTCACCACTGACCAGACTCGTTTACCCGTACTGACACCACAGGCTACGAAGACCTTACAGTCTCACAGTCTCACCACCTCACCACCACGATTTGACGCTTTGAGACATGCCTTATCTCGCCTCAACACCATCACGGCGATAACGCCTTTTAGCGTCCTTGGAATTCCGACCCTCCTGAAAATCTCTCTTTTCCCACGTCTCTAGCTGCCTTAGTGTCAGAAGGGTTCCGACGCAGTGCGACACACAGCACACAACACACCAACCCGAAATGAACACCATGTCACTCTCCGGCTTGCCCTCTTGAGACTTCCGCCTGTCCGTTTTCTCTCAAGCTTGCCCTGAAGCCGATTGCCACCACCGCCATTGCCCATTCCAGTGGTAGCGGACGGTACATCGCTCGCCGCTGAAAGAGTGCTGAATGCAGGTACCACGCACTCTACTCACCCATAATGGCTGCAGCCACCGAAAAGTTTTCTTCAAATTAATGGTGTTGGGCTCCCAAAATAGCTACACGACTTTTTCGTTGTCGATTCGCATTTGGCAGTGACAGTCGCAAAGAAAATCAGGGTCATCGTCGAAAGCCGCAGTTCATCGCAACTCTTCAGTGGCTGTGTCAGTAGCAACCTAAATCAATAGGACCTCAAGGACCATTCCAGAAATTCTAGGCCGGTCGGAAAACTCGATCGGCGTCGAATGATCGAAGTTATCTAGCATCCAGTTGGTCCACCGTCAAACTACGCGTCTAGAAACTTGCCAGCATGTCGTCATGCTCTGCCGCACACCAGCGAACCATACAGAGGCTGCGATGGTTGGCGCGTTGCTCACGCTCAGATTCGACATTCAAGCTTTCGGTCCCCGAGCTCGTCTACGCGCATCTCCCGAATAGCAATCCTACGCCCGCAGATATCCTTTCCATCGAAGTGGTGATCGGCATCAGTCCGGGAGGACAACTCAGAGCAAGCAGATCCCTTGACCCACGATTCTCCGACTGGGAAAAAGAGTGACAAGCATCGCCAACCGCCACAATTCGTGTCCGCTTTTTCTCGTAGCGATCTCAGCGAGCCCTTGACCTCCACGACCCCGTACCCTTGATTGCGAAGCCGCTTGAACCAGGCGCAATAAGATTGAGAAGAGCCAGACCGCTCCTTGGCCCTGCTAATTGCTCAACGTTCTAGACGAATCAACACGCCATCCGCTGCCCGTGCTATCGCTCGCGACCGCCCATATCAAGCCAGAATCCATCCAATATCCCTTGCTGACGACGTGCCCTGACCTTGCGCTTCAGGGCTCCCTTCCGGGGACCAGCAGCCGCCCGCCTAGCGCATATGGGAGCAAACGCACGCCAGCCCACCGGTCTATGGAGTACCGGAGCGGAGGACAGCCGCCGCGAGTCCGCGACGCGACAGCGACGTTTCTTCACATGCAAGGCTTCTGGCGCGAAACACCCTGAACCCCCCTGATTTTCAACGACGTGCGACCACCATGCCTGTGCCCCGTGCGGCGATTACGAGAATGAAAAAGAGAGGATCCAATGAAGAGAGTTTGCTTTATCTCTCTACAAGACCGCTAATGCGAATCATATTGGCGTTGTCTCGGGTTCATGCCGTCCATGCTTTTGCTTTCGCTTTTCTTCTGCCATGCAATTTGGTTAGAGGAGACGATACTTTGCCATACTTTCTCGTAAATCAAACTCTACCCCTGAGTTGCTGCATAATCCGCAGTGAATGAGGCGTCGCAAGTCCTGCAACGCGACCACACACTTGCAAGCTCGAAGTTTGATGTGACTTGTGTGGGCTACGAGATGAAAGTAACCAGAAAGACGTCGAAACATCATATTCCGGATACCCGTATGTAAGATCTGACAGGCCAATCTTCAAATTCAGCGATAATTAGTTGTAGCTCATGAGTTTGCCTACGAATGCGGACAAGTGCATTTCACAGAAGAGAAATATTATACAAGAAAATTAAAGATGCAGTCGGCTTCAGAATTCGGAGCGTGCCTTGAAGCAGTGAAATAGCCACTAGAAAGTGAGGCTAAACCACACTCCGTCTGTTCAGACGTTTGACAGTTCTGCTTCAGAGGACGTCGACAACCTCGACCCATTGAACTGACACCGGCCCCTTGAGTCCATACTCTTCAGCCGGATGAGCCTTGAAGTAATTCGCACCCGCAACAGAAGCAGCGCCACCAGACGTCATGATGCTATCCTGCTCAGCTCTGACGCGGTTATACAGCGTCGAAGCAACTTCTACCATGACCACGTTGTCGGCGCCCTCGGAGGGATTCAGGTAGTTTGTGATGTCCACCACAACGTCAGGCGAGCTGTTCACGTCGAGAACGATTCTCTCGTCGTTGACCCGGAGTGCCGTTGCGTCCGTGATGGCGCCTAGGTGGAGATGGGCTCCTATGCGCTGTACCGCGGTAGAATAGGATGGGGTTTGGAAGGTGGCTTCGTAGTCTGCTGTGCCGCTTGTGTTGGCCAGGTTCACGGGGTCTAGATCTTTCCAGGGCGCTAGCGGGCTGTTGAGGAACCGGTAAGGTGTGATGGCGGTTTCCATGGAGAGGGAGTCGTTGCTGCTGCGCCAGTCATTGACTGTGATATTCCATACGTCGAGGGTTGTTGCTTCTGGGAGCCGAGAAGTGTTGAAAGTTAGGGTTTTACCGGTGGAGAGGGTGATTTTCGTGGTACCGGGGGCGAGGTGTGCTGTGATGAGGTGGTTGCTGGCCGTGGCATTTGTGTTGGGGTCTCGGGACGTGGTATAGAAGAAGCCTTGGAGGAGACCAGAGGTCGATGTTATGTGAGTGCTTGGCGGACGAGGCAGGAAGGGTCTGTTGTGTTCATCATCTGCGAATGAGGCCTGGTTGGAGAAGGCGAGTATGGTAGTCTGGTTTGCTACGAGCGTCACCGGCACGACGATGTCGTTCTCCTCGACGACGAACTGCAAAAGTGGTGATGCCGAGCCCTTCCAGGCATCGAGAACGTACGGTGTCCTGCCCGCCATATCGCGGAAGCTGACATTCGTAGTCGTGGATTTCTCCCCGTCGTTATACAAGAACACAACCTCCGCATCCTCTGTGCTTCGCGAGAAGGAATACCACTTCTCAACAGCATCATCTTTCAAGAACATGACCCGAGGCCGGATGTTGAGAGCAGCAAGAGCAG